TATATATATATATATATATATATATATATATATATATATATATATATATATATATATATATATATATATATATATATATATTGTAGTGATAAATTTGATTATATCATTATTGAATTGTTTTTTTCCCCTATTGAAAATATTAATAAAATATTTAAATTAAATCAACTTTTTTTTTCACAGAAAATTTAGCAAAAGAATATATTAATAATGATGAGTATTATGAATTGAGCAAATTATAATATCAACGTAAAAATAATTGATAATAAAAATAATTGTTATTAAAATAATTAAATAATATGATAAATGTGAATGCATCAATAAAATGAATAGATTATCTCGATTTCTTAGGAAATAAAATAATTATATTCCAATTTGTTTAATTGGAATTTGAAAAAAAAATGGAAAATTAGTAATTTACATGTTGAAATGAACCATATTAATTAAAAGGACTATTTTAAAATCATGTAAAATTTAAAAAATAAAACTGTAAAAATTTAAAACTCAAATAATTACATTATATCATTTGAAAAAAAAAAATGAAAATAATGGTGAAAAAATGGAATAATAAAGACAAAAACATTTCTAAAAATAAAAAATAAAAGTGGAATATTTTAATCAAAATTATCACATTAAAAATGAAATGATTTATTCTATTTCTGATAAAAAATTAAAATATATGAAATTTTTTGTAATGTATTAGATGAAACTCTGCAATAAAAAAGTAAGAAAATAATGAATGTATTATTTGACAAGGACAACAATTGTTCAATGTCACCACCACCGATTCGCTTTATGGATCTGAAAAATAAATCTCATTGGTAGTGGTGGTTCATTTACTCAAAACCCAATAAATGTATTGTATGTATGAAATATATTGGTCATTATGCGGTTATATATATATATATATGTTGAGGACATTTTGGGACCATAAGAGATAGAGGGAAGGGTAAGGTTGAAAGTAAATGACTACACCTGGTCCTTAGCGACCACAATTATCATCATTATTAAATTCATTGGTTACCATAGCTTAGGTGATACTTATACTATCTATTAATTTTAATGCTGCTTTTGTTGCTATGACTAAATAATAATGAATAAATGAAAAGCATCATATGAATATTTGTAATTAATATTCGATTTATGTATTTTTAATTTTTTTTGAATTTCAATAAAAATACAATCAAATTAACATATACTAATTGAGATATTAATTATATTTATTGTTATTTTAGAAAATTAATTGTAAAAAATTCTTGAAATATTCTAAAAAAAATCTTTTATACATTCTACTATTATAATTAAAAAGGATATCTTAAATTATTTATTCACTTATTTTTTTTTTTAAAATATGTAAACCAATAATAATTAAATGAAGAAAAATTAAATTAAAAAAAAACTTGAAGAATTAAAAAAAAAGAAAAACTATACAAAAATCTACATTTAATTATAATCATAAATAGTAGAATCTATAAAAGACAGGCGATCTTAATGATGAATGTATACAGTCAACAATATTTGAGAATGGAAAATTAATTTTGATGCATGGTTGAATAAAATATTCCAACATTTATTGAACCACCTCTAATTAGCATTTCAATGTTAATTAACCTGTGAATGCAATTAATATCTATAATGATATAGAACAAATGATTAAGAGTTACTCAAAGAATGTTTAATAATTTTATTTGTAACATAATGGATAAATATGAAAGCAGAGAGAAAGAGAGAGAGAGAGAGAGAGAAAGAAATCTCTCTAGAATGAAAAAGTATCATATATATTATTTGCGGTATCCATTTGTAAAATATGCATTATAAATAAATGACCTTTGATCTAATGACCTTAATCATTTCATAGGGGAAAAATGAATATTAACAATTTTGTCGGTATATTTTATCATGTTAGAAAAATTGTGATATATTTGAAATTTTGAAGGATTAGTAGTAGTATAATTGATAACACATTTCTATAATATTCAATTCGTATAATATTCGAGAATTTTGAAAATTTGCATAATCATAGGATGAAATTAGTATGAAGTTACTTGTCATTCATCCAAAATGATTGCAATTTTATCCAAGAGCTCTTGTTTCGAGAAAAGCGGTCGAGTGGTATAAATTTAAATTGGTAATGGAAAAAGCGGGTGAATTTGAAAGAGTTATAACCTTGGAGATATTAATATATTGGCTATTAAATGAAAGATAAACAAATATACATTCAATTTTTTTTCAAAAAGATATAAGTAAAAGATAAAAAAAAAATTGATTTAATTCCTCATAAGTACCGGGAAATACTGGTGATAACAGTTTTTGATTGTAGTAGCAGTATTGTGATATTTTAGTTTTAATTTTAGATTTTACAATTTTAAATTTTTATTCAATTGGAAACTTTTTTTTCAGTTTGATCAATATTTTATTCGAATGGAAGTTAGAAATTTCAAATCATTTTAAACTATTAAAATATTAATAGGATAATATAATGGGTTGAAAATAATGAGATTATTAAAAATTGGAATTTATTTCTCTAACCGGAAACAAATAAATATCTGTAATCCTTTTAATATTAATATTTTTTGTTTTTTTTCCAGCTTCTTTTTTTGATATTCTCAAATTTATGTTTTAATATTTGATAACTTTAAATTTATAATTTCTATTTCTTTTTTGCAATTTATATTTTGATATATTTTAATTTTAATGCAATTTATTTTTTTTTGCAATTTATATTTTTTTATTTTTTTAATCCATCAGAAATAAACCTTTAGCCTAAAAGATTTGTTAAATTAAATTTCATTCAACATTCTATGCTTACAACAAAAAAATCAAATATACATATTTGTAAAATTAGATTAGCAATAATTTCTATTAAGTAATTATTGCTAATCTAACTTTAACCATCTAATTTAATGGAACTGGTCCATTTTTTTTCTTTTTTATAAATTAAGCATTACTTTTACATTATATTTACAGCCGTTCAATAAGTTAATTAAAATACATTTAATGAGAAGGATAATATGAGGATATGGTAATTACAATCATAAATTTCTCAAATTAGCTATAGTAATCACTATCATTAATTCCTCCAATTATTGTTCTTTTTCAATCTCCTAACAATCAAAATTTCTGATAATCTTATATATTTGTTATAATACAAGGATTACGGTATCAGAATTGATAATGATCCAATGGTAATTTATAAATATTCAAATTTATCACATTTTAAAAATGCTACTTTAATGAATGAAATTTTGTATTTTGTTATTTTATTTTTAAATTTCATTTTCTCCCATACTATACGAATTTACATTTTTTTATTTGGATTTAACCTTTACTTTTAACTTTGAAAAATAATTCTACATTAAATATTCAGGCTATGACATTATTTTAGAGTTGCCAAATTAAAATTAATACTTAAAAAGTATCATTCATTTCATATATTTCAATTAGTACAAGGATATTTATTAGTTTATTATCTTTGGCCTTCGGATTATTTGACATCTTTTAATTTGCTGACATCATTGCCGTGATTTTAAATTTTCAACGTTAATTGATTACTAAGATTATAACATAATCGGATTTACAATATCAATGACAGTACAGTAATAGTTTTTAATATTCCATGAAATAATTATTCAAATAATAATTTTGAAATGATTAATTTTATGTTATCTGTAATATTATCAAATTTGATTAAAGCTAACTCGAATGAAATAAAATTACAATTTAAATTTTTTTTTTTAAATGATATTAAAATGCATAAAATTAGCATTTTGCTTAAATCGTTTACTTCAATGTTTGCAAAAGAAAAAATTTAATCGCAAAATTAACAAATTTATCTTTTTGATATATTAATGATTATAATAAATATTAAAATTTAACGATTGTTGCGATTTTTTTTTTGCTCAAATGAAAATAATTAAATATGGCAAATTAATTAAATTCCAAGTAAAAATGGATAATTAGATAATGACAAAATATTATGCTT